GTAAGCTGGTGCGATGAGTTGTGACGTCGCACGAAGCACTACTAGACGAAGTAGGCGTGGGGTTTTCTTCCATAAAGGCGGGTTTTAGACGGTCGATGGTGACCACTTCGTGTCGACCACCGCGGTCAATAGTGTACGCCTTACTCGCACGATGCAGCACCTTGAAGGGTCCTATGTACGGCGACTGAAGAGGCTGTCGAACACCGTCTGCGCGAAGAAGGACGTGTGAACAAGTAGACAGCTTCTCGGGCACGTACACTGGTGTCTTCTGCGATCGAGGAGCGGGTGGACGTAGCTCACGCATCTAGTGAGCCAATCGGTCAGTGTAACTTCCGTAGTCAAAGGTGGAAGTACATGGGGCTGGTGCTACCAGCTGTCCGGGCAACCGCAGCGTGCAACCGTAGACTAGCTGCGCTGGTGTGGCGTCGAAGTCACTCTTAACCGTGTTTCTTAAGCCTAGGAGAACGAGGGGAAGCGTTTCAGACCATGAAGGATCTGCGTGCGCACGTAGCGCTGCCTTCAACTGGCGGTGAAAACGCTCCACCATGCCGTTAGCGGCCGGATGATACGCCGTCGTCTGGACGTGGCGACAGCCTAAATCCTTAAGCAACGTGGCAAAGGTCGACGAGAAATGTGACCCTCGATCGGTGGTCACGATGGCGGGACAGCCGTATTGAGCTACCCAGCGCTCCATAAAAGCTTTCGCTACCGTTTCCGAGGAGCAATTTGGGATGGGGACGGCCTCAGGCCATCTAGTAAATCGATCGATGCAGGTCAGTAGATATACCGAGCCTTTGGAAGGCGACAGAGGACCTACGAGTTCGACGTGCACGTGATGAAAACGTGCGTCTGGCGTCGGAAAAGCGCCTAATGGGCTTCTCGTGTGCTTGTGCACCTTCGCGCGTTGACACGGAAGGCAAGCAGCTGCCCAGGTACGGACGTCCCGATTAACATTGCGCCAAACGAATCGTGCGGTTACGAGTTTAACCGATGCACGAACGCCTGGATGAGACAAGCCGTGCAACGTGTCGAACACGGTCTGCCGAAACTCGCGTGGGACGACGGGGCGCGGCGTGCCCAGAGACAGATCGCAGAGTATCGTTCCGTCTGATGATGTCAGCGGAACGGGTCGTATATCCAATGAGGGAGACCTGCGTAGTAGTTCAACCTCAGGATCGTTGAGTTGTGCTGTGGCCATGGCTGCCAAGTCGATAGCCGTGCCGGCGTCAGCGGAGATAGCTTGAATGCGGGAAAGTGCATCGGCGACGGCGTTGTGCACACCTGTGACATGCCGTATATCGGTCGTAAACTGAGCGATATAGTCAAGGTGGCGCGACTCTCTAGGAGAGTATCGGTCGGTAGTCGAGCCGAGCACGTAAGTCAGGGGTTTGTGGTCGGTGAAGACGACAAAGGAGCGGCCTTCTAGGATGTGTCGAAAGTGACGTATCGCTAGATATACGGCAAGTAGTTCTCTACCGAACGTGCTGTAGCGAGATTCGGTAGGTTGTAGGCGTTTGGAGAAAAACGCTAAGGGCTGCCACGTGTCGGCTACGCGTTGCTGCAAAACAGCGCCGACTGCCACGTCCGAGGCGTCAGTACTGAGGGACAGTGGGGCGGCCGGATCGTGATGCGCTATAGAAGCTATGTTGGCGATAGCCTCTTTCAGCGACTTAAAAGCAGCGCGTGCTGCGGTAGGAAATTCGAACGTCTTGAGTTTCCCTCGGAGAAGGTCCGTGAGGGGTTGCATCAGAGAGGCGCAGTTGGGTATAAATCGACGGTAAAAGTTGACCAGGCCATCAAAACGCCTGAGCTGCTTGAAAGAATGAGGCTCGGGGTAGTCGATAATGGCTTGAATTTTATCTTGCAGTGGCACGACGCCTGCAGAAGAGATACGATGGCCCAGGAAATTAACTGAATCGACACCAAACGAACACTTTTCTGCGTTGATCGTCACCCCGTGTTGAGATAAACGATCAAAAGTGTTCGCACGTGGCGTATGTGCTCTTCTCGTGAAGAGCTTGCGATTAAAATGTCGTCAAGATACGCGTAAGCGAAGTCTAAGCCGCGACAAACTTGGTCGATGAAGCGCTGAAAAGTTTGCGCGGCGTTCTTTAGGCCAAATGGCATACGCAGAAACTCGAACAAACCAAATGGAGTCGTCACGGCAGTTTTAGCGATGTCCGCCTCGGCTACCGGAATTTGGTTGTATGCGCGTACCAAGTCGATTTTGCTGAAGATACTTTTACCCGCCAGACTGGCGGTGAGATCCACTATGTGTGGGATCGGATAGCGATCGGGCGTGGTCACCGTATTCAAGGATCGATAGTCGCCGCAAGGACGCCAGTCCCCCACAACCTTCTTCGGGACCATGTGCAGAGGCGACGCCCATGGGCTGTTGGACGGTCTGACGATACCAAGTTGAAGCATGTGGTCAAATTCGGCTCGTGCTGCCCGTAGTTTGTCTGGAGCAAGCCGTCTTGGCCGTGCGCTAACTGGTTGACCGCGCGTAACTATGTGGTGAGCGACCTCTGTTGTGACTGGTGGAAGCTCTGCAGCCGGTCGAACCAGTCGCGGGTATTCGGAGAGGAGGCTCAAGTAGTCGGACGGTGCGTCTGCGATCCGAAATACAGGGCTGATTATCGGGGCATCTGAAAGGACACCATCAACACCTAGTTTCGTACGGTCGTCTAAAAGTCTGTGGCGACCAGCATCAACAAGCAACCCAAAATGTCGGAGGAAGTCGATACCGATAATTGCGAAGGGTACAGACGCAACCATGAAGACCCACTGAAAATCTCGGCGAAGATTGAGGTCTAGGTTCATCATGCGCTGACCGAATGAAGCTATCGGAGAACCGTTGGCCGCACGCAAATTGTACGTAGGCTTCGAGTGCTTGTCGCTAGCGGTCGCTGGGATGACGCTGACTTCCGCTCCTGTGTCGATGAGGAATGTGATGGAAGAACGTCGATCCTTAACGTAAAACAGTCGGTTTGCTTGGTTATTGAATGATACGTTTGTAGTGCTAGTATGCGGGCTATTCGTTTTCCCTGGGTCGTGCCTAATGCAGGGAGCCCGACAACGTCTAGCTCTTCCACCGTATTGGCGGTGATACCAACATACTTCTTCGACGGGTTTGACATTATCTGACTGAGAACTTGTAAGGAAAATGTTGCGCTTTCGTGCCGAACGTGACGTACTCGGTGCAGGCACAGACGAGCCGCAATGAACGGTAGCCAAAACGTGGTCAGCATTTGACCGTGGCACACGCTGCTTCGAAGCCTTCATTGCCGCTATCCTGCTGCGAAGTAGCGCAATTTCCTCGTCTTTAGAGTCAGATCGGTCTAGCGACTGGAAACAAACATGGGATTCGGTTTTCATCGGTGAGAATACGCCACCGGAGTTACTGGTCGCCTGCTGCGGAAAACGTTCGAACGCAGCGTCTGCCTTGGTAGCTAAGTCTTTCAGGGATGCATCTATAAACATGGACAGCATTACCGGCAATGGCTCTGGGAGACGTGCAAACCACAGCTCCTTTATCCCTTCTTCGCTCAAGAATAAGGGACCAGCGATGCGCTGAAGTTCGCGGAGCAATGCCGACGGCTTGCGATCTCCAAGCTTGAGACCATTGAGCTGCTCAAATCGTGCTCGTGCGCTGGGTCGTAACTCTTTCAATATCGCTTGCTTCATCGTTTCATACTTTGCCTCATTCGATGGGCAGAGTAGAATGTCCTCAATCAGCGTCACTACCGACGGAGGAAGGCGTGGGACGAGCTGATTGTACCTTGGACGGTCCGCCGTTATGCCCTTATTTTCTAGCTCGATCTCGAATATCTTAAACCAAACTTCTGGACTGTGTTCCATGAAACTTGGAACAGCCAAAGTAAGCATGGTTACGCTGTGAAACGACTCAGATGCCGCTCTCGAAATGTGAGTCGAAAGATAAAGAACGAACAAAATACGATAAAGTACTAAAATTACGCAAGAAACAAATGAATATAGGTATATAATCGAGAAAAAGGAACGAACTCACCAAAAAATACAAACGAGAAAAAAAGTTGAATTCGCGCGTGCGAATCGGGGTCACCAATTTGTAGGACTAGTTAATACTAGTCCGAGACGATGCGCGTAATTAAGCGCGGATATCAGAAGGCAATTGGAAGTCGGACACAGCGGACTGTATTCGATGGGCTAGAACAAGAAACGGACGGATGAAGCCAGGCAAGAGCGTACACGTGAGCGCGGGGACTTACAAGGCAGTTGTGTGTCGAGCCGGTTGTAAGATTAAAACAAGAAGGAGTAATGTACAATCGGTCAACAAGTAAATTGTACACGAAAGATAAGAGTTATCTTTTTGGGCGCTACAATATCACCAGATGAGTCTGTAACTGGTCTTGAACAAGCAGAATTGCTGCAAGCTTAATTGGACTCATCAAAGGAAAACCCAAGGATTACAACTGTCTCGTTTTTAACGAGACGACCATGTTTAGTTGGAAAACGGGGCAGAAGTTATAAACACGTATACAACGTTAAAGCGACCACAAAAGCAAAACAGTGTGTGAAAAGGGACAAAAAGCAGGAACAACTGCAAAAATTACTTGTTATCGTCAAGGAGACACTAAGTCAGTATCATTTTAATCGATCCAAGTTTTCTTAGAACAGAGGAAATTTGAAAATAGTCAAATTTCGCGTCATGTAATTTTCAAACACTGTTTTCCAAAATATTTCAGGTAAAAAGCTCGACCAATACTGCACGCATAAACTCGAGTTACACTGTCTTTATTCCTTAACTATGACTTATCTATACCTTTAACTAGCCCTTACCGTTTACATGGCTTTACAACCTCTAAACCTACTAACGCATGTTTACACTGACTGTCACGGACAATACCTTAATCGCGTATCGTTATACGGCCGCTCAGATGTTTAACCAGTTTAGCAAAGATATAAAGCAATAGTCAAACTGTTGATGTTTGGTAACCTTAGTAGGTTTTATCGTTCTAGTTTAGCGTAACCTCGAACTTGACCTTGGAAGTAGTCTTAACTTTCTCTTTGCTTCGTTCGGTATGACGGCGGAGGTCATGAAAAACTTGGTACTCTTCTTTCTGTGTTACCCATATAAATAGGGCTCGGAGGTTAGGACGCTTAAACTATCTGGCAATGTTGGATTCGACAGTTTACCCGATCAATTAGTTAACAAAGCAATCATTCAAGGTTTTTCCTTCAACATTTTATGTGTTGGCAAGCTTCCACCTTATTATCTGACGCATATAGGTGAAACTGGGTGCGGAAAGTCCACTCTAATTGAAACATTTTTTAATCAAAAGTTTGATTTTTCTCCTTCATCACACGACCTCTCTGATCCAAAACTCAAGGAATCAACTTTCGGTTGGCTTAATTTACTCTTACGAATGACTTTATAGATATGAAGGAGGCAAACGTTAAGTTAAAATTAACGGTAATCGAAACTTGCGGTTTTGGAGACCAGATAAATAAGGAAGACAAGTAGGTATTACATTAGTTATGCGACAATTTAGCATTCGACCTGTCGTTGATTATATTAATGCTCAGTTCGAGAAATATCTACAGGAAGAGCTCAAAATGAAGCGATCTTTGCAGAACATTCACGATTCAAGAGTCCACGTTTGCATTTATTTTATAGCTCCTACTGGTCACAGGTAATGTTTTACTCGCTATTGCATAGGTTTACTTTACCTTCACCCTGTTCTTCCCATTATTTGAGCTGTTTTTACTATCATCATCGTTATATACGTTAGATGCAAGCGGAAAACACCTTAGATATTATGCCGCATTATCGATTTTCTAAACTAAATTTTGAACTTTTCTGATATCCTTCATTCACTTGATGTATCTGATTTTGCTAGCTCAGACGTATATTCTTTGTGCTTTCCTTCACGATCACCTTTTTGATTCCCATACTAGCGTGGATATGTATTACCATCTGCTTTCCTTTTAGTTATACATTCTGCTTTTTATTGGCAGAAATTCCGGGTCACGTTAGTTGCCAGAATCATTAATAATACTTGTTATAGCTTCTACTAGTATCACCCGTGTCCCTATTTCTCCCGCCAGCCGAGGGGCTATCAACGCACGTCAACCCATTCCTTTCACACAAATTTCGATTCACGTGGCACTCTTTGGATGTATACTCTAAGTTCAGTTGTACCAGGAGCACGAGGTATCTTGACTTTGTGATGATTCCGTCGGCCGGTGCCTAAACTTTCCACGTGCTGTGTAACAAATGTACTCTACTGGCATTAACGTAGCACAACCTCACCACTTTAGGCTTTAGGTACCGATATATATATATGTATATATATATACATATATATATGTATATATATACTGCTTTTCATTTCTGTAGAGGGGCGTCCGTTTACAGAGGTTATACGGAATTAAAATTTAAAAATTCCACTCCATGAATTTACTGTACACATCTGCCCCTATCTCCAATTAGAACTACTTGCTAGTGATGGACGGTATCTTAGATCATGTGACGTCGCTTTAGCGTATTTTTAGTTAGAGAGTCAAAAGCGCTTATATATTACGGTCGCCACAATTGACCAATGATAGAGCAGGTTTCGCTTGAACAGGAAGTGATAACGCCGAGATCATGGAAAAGCAATTTCGTTTTTCATTTTTCTGCTTTTTCATGAGTCGGTTAATATAAGGACCTACGATTTTAGTCAGATTTGATATTGCAGTCATACTGTCGGCTCAACCTTAGACCGGCTTATATTCTGTAATATACGATATGTAAATATATGAATTCTCGAATTCTCAGCACTATGACAAAAAGTGGTAAACAAGCGCATAATATGTTCATTCTTTGTTTCGCATGCGCTGTTTCGTTTTCGTTGTTGTTTGAATATTTAACGGTAGGCGATATGGTAGAACGACGTTAGTTCCATTGTTTACTGTCCCTGGACATAACATCTGACGTTTGCGACCATTGAGGGTCAGTGTCGCGGGGTCCCCGGCCTAGAAACCGATTTGACCAGACCGATGCTAGGCTTGGAGCTGCATTTTTCGTGCTCCTGTTTCACGTCATTGGTTGTCCACCGCGGCACATTTCCCAGCCGCATCCGGTAGGCGCAGATAACGCTCGACGGGGAAAGCGATGATCTGACCTGTACGATATGTGGCCCAGTCAACGCGTGTGGTTTCCGAGAATAACGTTTTGGAGGTAGAGACTGTTTCCTTCCAGCACCCGGTCACGAAATTCGGTTATGCTTACGTTACGTTACCACCACTCTCGAAGAGTTCTTTGCATATGTCTATGAATACTGTGATTGTTGGTCATCGGTGGACGCGGCGGAGTTAGTGAAGTTGGCGGAGCGTAGAGATTCGGTTGATGCAACCTCGGCCTAGATGAAAACCGATGTGTTCCTCTAGTGAAAAATCCTCTGCTGGAAATCTGTGAAATACGCGGACACAAAAATCTTGGACGCACCAGAGATCAACGAAATTCATCGGAGATTAGCACAATCTTCACGCGTGCCTTTCTTGTGGATTGGGACAACGACTGATTGAACCATTGAGTTGGTACCTTCTCCTCAGTCCAAATCTTCGTGCACATCGATAGGATTTCGTTGACAAGTACATTCCCACCATCTTTGAATAGATCAAGGGTGAGGCTGTTAGGGTAGGGAACTTTATGACGTTTCACAGATCGGATTGTGTGGAGATAAATCAAACACTATCCTATGGAAATGTCCCATGTAGTTAACTTGAAAAGCAAAATAATCTACCCAGCTATTCAGACGCCTGGCTAGGTTGGTTGTTTTCATGCCCTCTACTTCACATGTTGTCTGGCTAATGACGTGTGAATGGCAAATGGTAGTCATGAGGAAGCAAAAAGGATTGCGGCAGTTCCCAGCCGATGCCGAAGCCTTCAATTAATAAGCTTACCTTGTAATCTGACGGCGCCGGTTCGAGCCTGCATAGAGGCAGTGCGATCCTCGCAGTATGTTTAGCCCACTTGCAAGTGGTGATGGTTGCGCGGCAGCAAAGCGTCGGTACCGCTTACCGGCGTACTGCTGGTGCTTTAGTCTTTTACAGTCGGTTCTTTGTCATACTGAAGACTTGCCTTCAGCTATTGAGAAATAAACCGGCGGAGTTCGTTGTGTTCCGCGCTGGAGGCCGCAGCCCGTCGATGATCTAGCAGTTTCGGGGATGTCGTGATCCACCAATTAACTGTGCAGCGAGCGAGACCGAAGATGGACAGACCTGTTTACCACGGGGCTTGTTGCAAGTCTAATTGATGCTGGTCGATATCCAGATGTGAGAGAGGGAGGATTTTACGAACCTTTGTTGATACTTCATTCGAACCGCTGATCCTTCCAATTTTTGTGTTTAGTTGGGTTTGTTTTTCCTTGGGTGAGCCACGAAGATCCAGGTAAACTGTCGCATACACCAGTCTATGATTTGTTTTGACACAGGTTGACTAATATGCTTGGCAATCCTGCGACTTATTAGCTGTTTGGTCAATTTGCGACCAATATTGGTTTGATGATGAAGGATGTCAGATGGCATGGTCGCTTCCATAGTGATGAGAGCTCGTTCTTGAGAGGAAAAGCTGATAGTCGGCACCTAGACTAATCAGTCTTTCTCCGTTGTCGGAGCGAACATCATAATATTCATGCGGTTCTCCGAGATGGCGTCCACATGGCAACGACTGACCGACACGTGAGTTGAATGTTTTTGCCATAGTGATGATGTCCGTTTAGGGTGCCATCTGAAGCGGGTCGTGTAGTTTTTACTGGAACTAGTTCTCGGCTGTATGCGAGCTGCAGTCAATGAGCGAGAAGGCAGATATCACAAAAGAGCACACTTGTCGACTTGACGTGTGCAAACCTTGCAAGAGGCACGAAGCTTCACTGTATAAAGACGAGTGTTGACTGGAATCCAGTCAAGATTGGCGACTTTGGCTCTAGCATTGATTGCAGTCCAAACACCAGCTTGTCCGTTTGCGGGCGGTTGCCGGAAGGACAAGGCGTCTGCCTTGCAACGCGGTCGCAATTCCGAGCCTGCGTAGAGAACTGGACGATCCTCGCAGTATCCTTAGTCCAGACGCGACTGATGATAGTTGCGTGGCAGCAAAGCGCCAGCTCGGCGTACCTCTGATGCTTTTTTAGTACTTTGGTGGCCCTGACGATGGCAGGGATTCAATTACTGCACATGAATCCGAAAGAGGCGCTGACTTGCCGAACAACCCCTAGTGACGGCTGAGTGGCTTATGAATTCCTGTTCGTTCTTCTTCGTGGTGGGACTCGATCTAGGGATGTGCATGGTACTACTGTCAATGGGCTCGGCGGGATCCCGAACGTTTTTAATACTATTTCCAACGGCTGCTCTTCATTGTCGGTAACTGTGACATTGTCGTGGCGTGGACGAAGTTGGTTTTTATGCCGCACCCATTTATGCTGACCCACACTACACACATCACAACGTCACGGTGACCTACAACCACTACTGGGTCCATGATGGATTACTGTCTGTAATCACGAATGTATACCAAATCACATATTTAAAATGTCGACTCAAATACGTGTATCGGTGTTAGTAACGATTTTTCCGATAGTAGTATTGCACTAAAAATGATGCGTGCTTTTCGTCTCATAAGGAATTTAGCAGAGGAGGATCCATTTAGTGTTTCCGGGTTTGGCTTTTTTCCGCAAAGCAGAAGGAAATATTGGACGTTTTCATCCGTACTCTCCTCCCCTCGTTTTTTTTTAGAGGAGCTCGTTTGGACGTGTCCACAAACCGCTCAACTTGACCGTTTGGTTGAGGTGTTATGGCGGAGTGCTAAACTGGCTAGTAACACATCGACGGCAGAAGTCCTGGAATAGTGGAGATGGGTTCCGTTATCTGACACCAGATTATCTGAGAACCCATACTGGCTAAAAATTCTGCGCAGAGCTGAGACAGTGGACGGTGTTGTCACCTGTGACCGTGGAATCATCTCGGGTCACTTGGACGTTACGACATTTACGACAATATACATAATACCGTTGATTGGGCAAACGAAATCGACATGTAGACGCGACCACAGTTTATGAGTTGATATGGCTTGAATAACGGCACTGCGGGACTGCATGAGGGAAAGACCACTTCAGTCTGTTCTTCTGAGAAACTGTAATCTGAGAACCGAAGTGCAGTTGAAGCAGTAACCATGATAAGCGTCGTTGTGATAGGAGAAGTTCAAAAAAGGAAAGGAAGTGAGGAGTTAAGAAAGTGGTAGTTAAAAAACCGGGTGCACAAGTAAACAGTGGTGCGTAAGACAACGAATACACGAACCCCACTAAGCCTGCCACCTCATTGTATCACCTGAGGCACTCCAACGACAGGTATGGCTGATCCCAAGTCCAATTTTCAAGGGAGACGTGCATCAGCCTGACTAAGTGTCTTAACCTATTTTTCTTCCCACGCCTATTCGTCGACGGGTTATCTGACAGCTTCTCCGAACCCGGCACATTGTCGAGAACAACCCACGATGAGATAGGTGTTTGATAAGCGTTGGAATAACATGTTCAAGACAGCGAAGATGGTTCTGGTGCGAAATATAGCATAGGTCTGCAATGGCTAGTACGCAAACAAAGATCGACCGGCGGATCTCCGCACAACTCACGGGGTGGTCTCATTAAACATGAGTATCCACATGTACAGGCAGCAGAGATATAAGATCCTCTAAGAGACTGGTCACTAGTGCGAGCATCAAGGGAGAAATATTGAAGTCATCCCGTTGATGTTCAGGAGGGCGCAATTAAATGCCTCCGTAGCCGATGGTCAATGACAGCACCCATTGGAAACCTACGACATTTTTATCCCCGTCGTGGCAGCTTGTTCATAATCGATTCCTGTCTAATGTTTACCGATCGCATCGTCATGACTTCTTCGCTTCGACCGATAGTCTTGCGTCAGTTTCATACAGGTCATCCTGGTGCAGGACGGATGAGGGCCATCGTCCGAGGCTACGTCTGCTGACCGCGTATCAACAAGCAAATAGAGACGTTGGTCCAACGGTGTTTCCGTTTCCCACGGGTCGCTAAAAATCCTCCCCGTATAGCCCCACAACCGTAATGTACGGCTGTGTGACGACAGAGTACTAGTATAAGGTTTTATTGTTGATACCAATCCATGTTTTAATTGAAGCTTAACGCTGCTACACTGCCAACACTGCTTCATTTTGTTACTTTTAGCCTCAAATCCCTAGACGTTGTTGCAATGAAAGCGCTTCAGAATAAAGTAAATGTAGTACCGGTGATTTCCAAATCCGATACGGTCACAAAAGCGGAAATGAATCGGTTCAAATCAAAGGTACGTCACCATCACCACTTGTAGCAATAATCACTTTCTGTGCCTGTAGATATTGGCAGAAATAAAGTCTAACGAGATCGACATCTACCAGTTTCCAACGGATGATCCATCTGTTAGCGATTTGAATTCTCGGATGAACGTGAGTCGTTATTCTGTAGCCATATATGGGTTTAGTGTTTTGGCTCACCACTCACTCACACGGGTGTGAGTATCACCGAACTTGCTTGATAAGCATTCATGGAATAGTTTGATAAGTAGATATTTCTGCACATTCGTCAGCTGTCGACGCAGACACTTAGCGAAATCCCGAATCGTTTTAACCTGCTAAGAACTCATTGAACGTACACACCGTATACACATGCACACATCTTAGTTCACAGTAGATTGCAGGATGCATTTCAGATAGCATGTCGTGTCGCCCAGTCTTGTTCAATTTTGACAGATATTCCGCTTTACTGTGAACCTCCACTGCGACGCTTCTTCTCATGTAGGTCCACTATCGTGTGTATTGGAATCGTGCCCCGTGTTGGGTCGGTTACATAGGATTACGTGAATGAAACCCGCTTCTTCTCACTCATTTATACATACATTTACCGTCATTAATGTTTGTGTTTTCATTCTTATCTGCACACGACTGTGCTGCCGCAAGGCTACCGACTCATTAGCCCGTCCAGTTCAGTTGAACAGCTATGATCCGAGCACCGAAGTGCGGTGGATCCAGTTGCCACGACTCACACCGTAAGAATAACAATAAACAACGACGCTGGGATAGTGGTTTTGGGTGCGAACAGACTGTAGGGAAAACAAGCAAGAAGGAACTGCGTTAGACTAATCAGAATGGAACGAGAATTAACAACCAGATGAAAGCAACCGAATGCAGGAACGCCACTGACTTCGTGACTGCGCTATGTCTGACACAATCTCCAACTACTGATGTCGACCGTCGCGAGGGCCACACCCAGGAAGACCGCACGCACCAGCCCGACTAGATCAATTTCTTCAAGCTTGTATGCCATGTAATGGACTGGCCACCTCACGCTTTCGCCCAACTTGGTGCGGCCACGGCGTATAACTCACGCCGAGGAAGCCGATCAACGGGCATACGAAGGACATGGCTTAGCCAACGCAAGCAATGCAAGGTTTAGCAAACACTCGAGAGAGGCACCAGGTTTCTTGCCAAAACCCAACTGGCGGACCTCAGTGTTGCTCACCCGGTGTCCCCACCGAACTTGAGCAATACTTCGCAAGCACTGGTGGTCAAACACGGCCAGGCGTTTAGTGTCTTCACTACAAACTGGCCAGGTCTCTGATCCATATAGTAACACAGGCTTTGTCGCAGCTTCATGCACCCAACTTTTCACTGACAAGCTGTTATCCCACCGCCTGTATAGATGGTTGAGTCTCTGGAAAGGCACACGGGTCTTGCTGATACGCGAAGTAACCTTTTCAGTGATGTGACCAGAGGTGACACAGCTACCAAGGTAAGTGAACCAATCCACCACTTCCAGTGGCTGTTCCGAAATAGCTAAAATCAGAGGTGTGTCGGCCCAGTCCTGCAACTGCACTTTGCACTTTGTAGGTGCAAAGTACATGCCGAAGCGTGCAGCGCTACGCACAAGTCTATGCAATAGTGTTTGCATAGCCAATGCACTAGACCCAAGGAGAACTATGTCGTCCGCATACTCCACTTTTGTCAGTCGGTTGCCTGGCAGAACCCCCACTCCGGTAGAGTTTAAAAGTACGGAGTCACTAATGATCATTTCGATTATAAAGTTAGAAAGAAAAGGATGTATAGGACAACCCTGTCGAACTCAGGAGAGAGTTTCCCAGAGACATTTACATTGCCTCGGGAATCACGATAGAGACTTCATAATTGAAATGAGTTAAAAGGCGAGAGTCAAAGGCGACTTCCAAGTCAACAGTCCATCTGTCTCAGCTATTGTCTCGCTAACTGATGGCTTTCTCGAACCCGTCTTCCGGGTGAGCTGGAATAGCACTCGGCTGTTTCCAATGGCACTGGCTTTCTCCATCTCACGGGCCTATGCAACCCACCAACGTTCAAGGGAGTTAGGGACACGCTGAAACTATGCCCATCGGAACCTGTTTACGCGCTTCGATCAAACTGATCGATGCTTCAGTGATCAATTCACAGTTACGACGTCTCAAATCGCGTGCAGTGCAAGCGTCTTCACGGCACACTTGAGATGATCCCAGTCAGCGTTCGGCTCACCAACCTCATTCACCACTGACCATTGGTGGTCCAGTTCGTCATGATATTGTTAAACCTCAGATTGCGAGTTCAAGTCACAGGTAAGAAGATTAGAAGATATGCGCTTCTTTGAAGTGGGAAGAGTGAGTTCCAGACGTGCGTGCACTACAGCATGTTGGGAATTCAGGCATTTGCTCCAGATTGACCGACAGTCTTGGACTGATGTGCGCCACCTGTAGCTGGTGGCAAAATGGCCAGTTGGTCCACGTCATGGAGAAATTCGATGGGCGTTAGGTGACGAGGTGTGCGCGTTTGTGCTGGAAAGCAGTGCTGCTATTATAAAGATTGTGGTCTGCGCACAGTATATATATATATGTATATATATATATATGGATATATATATATATATATATATATATATATATCTTGATCACAATCTGTGTACAGCTATTGTGTCATCGGAACCATGGTGGAATGGAAAAACTGGGTTAGGTTAAATGAACAAAGCAAATAAACACTTTTTTGTCCATTTTTCACTCGCAGTTTTTGAGCTTTTTTGATGTTTTTTATTTGGGGAAGGAAAGGGGTGATCCATTTAAGGTTCGTCAGTGGGCGAGGTACTACCCGGTTGTCCAGGCCGAAGTAGAGGGTTGTCTTAGGGGGCCCACTCGGAGCCTTTGATCCAGGATCTAATCTACAAGGCAGCAGGGCGATTTGAGGGTAACGCAACCCGTTGGGAGCCGGTGACCAAACAAGTGGTCTATACGCCTTTAGGACCACATAGGACCAGGGGCCCAACACACCCTTGAATTACAATGCTACTCAGCGAGGCAAGGAGCAGTGATTTTATTTAGTGGCTAGTAACACGCACCCTGTCACAATTGCGGGATTCGATCCCCATTGTCCGTCCGGCATGCATCTACCACGAAGCGCCCTCCCAGGTGTTGTTCAGAATCTGAACGACTCACTTGGACATTCAGGTCACCACCAACAGTCACGATGTCATTACTCTTCGCCATGCAGATAGGAGATGAAAGATGGTAGTAGAAATCATCTTTGCTACCCTCCGAACAGCAGTTAGTAGAACATAAACGGAGGCGATGAAGAGGCACCTTGTCTTCAGACGGTGCTTACTAACCCCAATAAAGGTTTGAAGTCGAACCGCACACATGTAGCTGTTCACCGGTATCCAGCCGAGTCGATTACCTACAGCATATCTTCTGAGGTCGATACCAACACCGTATATCAACAAAGAAGTTTCTCTTCGTATCGCTAAAGCTCGATCAGCATTTGTCAATTTGAGGCACTTGTGGCGTCGTCGCGAAGTCTCATTCTCACTAAAGGGCCGCGTTTACAGCGCATCAGTTCGCTCAGTATTGTTGTATGGGTGCGAGTCCTGGCCGATTCGCGTGGAAGACATGCGTCGTTTTTCTGCCTTCGATAACGGTTGCTTAAGGAAAATGGCTTGTGTTTGGTGGCAACATCAAGTTAATAGTAATGACGTTCGACATCGCATTTTTGGGAATGCGAGTATTCCCTTCAACAAACTGGTTTTGTTGCGCCAATTAAGATGGCTCGGTCACGTCCTACGCATGACACCTGAGCATCTACCGCGTCGCGCTCCATTCGCTCGTCAAGGACCTGGCAGGAGGAGACCGCGTGGTGGTCAGCCTTCCACTTAGCGGCAGCACATGAAATCGCTGACATCGTGTCTAGCCGCTGTTGGATCCGTACGTCTTCCAGGATGTTGACCCAAAGATGAGGAGTGCCAATGACTTAACACGCTTGAATACATGGCCCGCAACCGGAATTAGTGGAAGAATTGTGTACAGTATTGTATTGATTCACACGTTTAATACTTCAAACATTGAAAATGACAAAAAATGAAAAAAGCGGCGTGTGAAAAACCAACTAAAAATGTTTTGTTCTACTTTTTATCGAAATGTTCCATTCTTCCTGCGGCATATTAGTTGAAGTGTGTTGCTCACCTTCAACTAGCATGCCACGATGATTATGACTCGATGACTCCTGCTTATCTGTTGATCTCCAGCACGACTTAGGTACCGTTTTGATCGTTCGGATGATCCATCCTTTGACCCAATAGCATTCGTAAACGAATGGAGTACAGTTAGCGTAGGTATATGAATGTTCTCATGTGGCACACGGAGGGCTATGCCAGCCCCTTTGTCTGATACAAATTAACTTCTCAGCCGGAGTGGTCCACAAGTTCGAAAAACTTGAACGAACTCCTTTCGTATCGCTTCTGTTCGATCATTGTTCATTCATTCTAGAGTCCGATAGGTGTTCTCCATAGTTATCAAAGGGCCATCTAGGCGTCGTGCGACTGTAGACTTTGAGATATTCTTATCCATATCGGCACGTACTCGGCTCGCATTTCGTGCAGTGTCAGGATTGCGTCCTTCGCGATTCACTCCAGGATGTCATCAATCTCTTCCTGCCACAGAATGCACTTAGGACCACGCGCCTGCGTAGTATCCGGCTTCTGATCAAGAGAGCGACGAATCTAGGAGTAGTTAGTCTGATATTTTACATTATTCAAGCTTGCCACGAGCTGCCAGTCGTCACCGTTGACAAAGACACCCACAACTCGGTCACGAATGTCTGACGAGATACTCTGTCGAACACAAGAAGGCATGTTGATCACGCTAGAATGAAAGACATCCATTCAGTCGTGCGCTTATGTTCCGACCGTTCATTGCTCTCAGACCACTTGTGATCCAACGTTTCGGACGTGAGGTGGGGGGGGGGCGCATAGTAGCCCGTGGCACCGCCTATGTCCATGGACTGGAGGTTCATTCACAAGTCTCACGTGGTCAACGGGCAGCTCGCTCACTTTACTGGAATTACGCACAAAACCCTAGCACCGGGCCAATGAGAACACACTTGTGGTCAGAGGATTGGCTCAGAGC